GTTCCCAAAGACTTCAGCTGACATTGCAATGGATCCACTCAGAAGGCTACGCAGACAAACCCAGGCACAGCCACTGACATGTGATCAGTGAGAGGTGAGGCCCAGGAAGGGGAAACTGGCCGAAGCCTATGTTCAGAGAGGTGGTGTGACCCCGTGGTTAAGTACACAGAATTCTAGATCAGCAAGATAGTCCAAAGAGCTGGAGCACATGTTATATTTTGTTTTGTTTTGGGACCACACCCAAGTCATGCTCAGGGGCTTACTCTTGGCTCTACACTCAGGAATTACTCCTGGCAGTGCTCAAGGGACATATGGGATGCTGAGGATCAAACCTGGGTCAACCGCATGCAAGGCAAGCGCCCTACCTCTATACGTCTCCTGGATATGTTTTACATTTTGGGGGGGGAGGGAGGAGGGGGTGCAGTGCGGGTGTCATTGTATAAATCCAAAATACCACCTAGAGTGATCACTATACAAGTAGTCAGGGTGGTCAAAAGACAAAAGAAAAAAAAGAGTTTAGGCACCAGACCAGATATCGCAATCCAACTCCAGCTCTTTCACGGCCTTGCGCATGTGACTTCAGGGATCTAACCCCTCAGAGACTCAGTTTCCTCAATCACAAAATAGAAACACCCAGGGCTGGAGCAATAGCAAAGCGGGTAGGGCGTTTGCCTTGCACGCAGCCAACCCGGATTCGATTCCCAGCATCCCATATGGTCCCCCAAGCACCGCCAGGAGTAATTCCTGAGTGCATGAGCCAGGAGTAACCCCTGTGCACAGCTGGGTTTGACTCAAAAAAAAAAATAGAAACACCCAAATAAAATTATAAAGTGTTTGAAACAGTAACGTGGAACAGGACCAGAGAGACAGTACAGGGGCTGAGGCACTTGTGCGCATGCGGCTGACCTAGGTTTGATTCCTGGCACCACATTCAGTTCCCTCAGCCTCACGATGAATAACTCGTGAGCCCTCAAACAAGAAAACAAAAACAAAACAGCACCCACAAAAAACGGTGTGGAAGACGGTAAGAATTGAAATAAAGAAAAGGCTATTCTCTTCTTCATCATCGCCTTCAGAACCAGCCTCAAAAACTCAGGCTGAGCAGGGAAGACTCCCCGGGAGACACGGCCAACACCAAGGTATCAGAAAGACAGCTCAGTAAGGCAAAAAAAAGACAGAATCAGCTTTGGATTAATCGAGCTAATGAAGGGGAGGGAGAAGGACGTTTTACTGAATGAAAGAAACCCACCAGAGGACAGAGCGATAGTACAGCAGACACGGTGCTTGCCTTCCATGTAACTAACCCAGGTCCCCATATGGTGCTCGGAGTCACACCAGGAATGATCCCCAAGCACAAAATCAGTTCTGAGTACATTGGGTAGGGCTCAAAAACCAAAGAAAAGAAACCCTCCCTTTAGGGGGCAGGAGAGAGAGAGCACTCAGCACCGCCTGGTTCCCCAAGCACATGAACCCCACTTGAGAGTGACCCTCAAGCAGAGACAGGAGTAGTCCCTCGGCACCGTCAACAACCCCTCATAAAAACCCTGAGTCCCTTTTTCAGACATACCCAGTAGTGCTCGGGGCTTACACCTGGCTCTGAGTTCAAGGATCACTCCTAGTGGGGCTCAGGAGACCACCGAGTGGTACTGAAACTGAACCTGCATCAGCCATACGCAAGACAACACTCTACCTACTATACTATCACTGGAAGCTATATGTATCTTTAAACCTGTTTTTTTTGTTGTTGTTGTTTGGGGGGGAATAGCATGGAGGAGAGTTTGCCTTGCATAGAGCCAACCCAGGTTTGATCCCTAGCACCGCATATGGTCCCCTGAGCATCACTAGGAGTGATTCCTAAACACTAAACAGAGCTGAGCATAAACGTTGAGTCCCACCAGGTGTGGCACACAGAAACACCTGGAAAAAAAAAAGAAAGAAAGAAAAAAAAAGAAAAAATTATACTCAGGGCTAGAAATAGTTCAATGGGCTGAGCACACACTTTGCATGCAGGAGGCTGGGCTCGATCTGGAGTACCACATGGTCCAAGCACAACCCCCAAATAGTGTGCAAGCCAGAAGTAGTCACAGGGCACTGCCAGGTGTTGCCCCCAAACAAGAGGAATAAAAAGACTACACACACACACACACACACACACACACACAATACCTTATTGAAGAAAGTAGTTAGTGAGCTAATTATTTAAGAGGTCATGAAGCAGCTCATACATCCAAGGACAGACAATAAGATATAGGCAAAAGGATAAAGAAGCAATTATATATCTATAGAAGAGAATATTACATAGAAGGAAACATGAAATCTTGCCGTTTGCTACAACTTGGATGAACTAGAGGACATGATGAAGTGAGCTCAGAGAGAAAAGAACAAATACTGGATGACTTCATTCATCCATGGAATACAGAGAAATAAATCAGGGGACTAGACACGGCTGAATCATGACAAGCCCTTGGTCTTTGATTATAGAACTGAGGACACCAAGCCATGGGGGAGGGCAGGAACGAAAGAGGCAAACTTGGAGTGACAGAAAGACAGTGGTGGAGGCACTCAGGGGAAGTAACTTTTCAGGTGACATAACTTAGACCATTGTACCCCCATGAAAGTTGACACTTTGTAACCATGTTCCCTAATCTACAATTTTAAAGAGAGGCTCTAAAGCACAGTCATTCAGAGGAGGGGCCTGGAAGCAGAATGCCGCCTCTATCACTCCCAAGCTGGGTGACATTTATTAAGCAAATTATGGAACTCCCTTGTGACTCAGTTTCCTCATCTGTAAAGCAGAGCGCATATTAGCACCTACCGATATTACAGGGCTGCGACGAAAATGAAACTAGTTAAAACATGCACATATAAAATGATGAGCAAACCCCTGGGCTCAAGAGCCCTGCTTAGGGAGGGTTAGCTTTGATTGTTCTTACTCCTGCCGCTACTGATTTAGCTGATTTCAGACTAAGTTTACTATGGTAAACCTGATATTAAAATTTGTTTAGGAAGGGCTGGCGTGATAGTAGAGTGGGTAGAGCACTTGCCTTGTATGTGGCCGAGCCAAGTTCAATCCATGGCACCCCATTAAGTTCCCCAAGTCCTACCAGGATTGGCCTATGAGCACGGAGCCAGGAGTAAGCCCTGAGCAACACTGGGTATGGCCCAAAACAAACAAACAAACAAGCAAACAAATCTATTTAGAAGCTGGGGAAATAGCTCAGAAGTCCATAGTGCATGTCTCGCCTGGTTCAAACCCCATGTTTGATCCCCAATATCGCATGGTCCCTCCAATCAGCCTGGATGGCCCTGGTGGCCCTCAATGCCACCAAACCTGAATCCTCCACATCAGGACCTGCACCACTGGGTCGAGTATCACTGGGAGTGGCACCAGGACACCAATGGGAAGGCCAACAATTAAGAACATAAAAATAAAATGCGGGGGGCTGGAGAGATAGCACAGCGGTTAGGGTGTTTGCTTTGCACGCGGTCGACCCGGGTTCGATTCCCAGCATCCCATATGGTCCCCTGAGCAACGCCAGGAGTAACTCCTGAGTGCAATGCCAGGAGTAACTCCTGTACATAGCCAGGTGTGACCCAAAAAGCAAATAAATAAACAAATAAATAAATAAAATGTGTTCATTTCTATTTATTTATTTATTCTGATTTTTGGGTTCCACCCAACAGTGCTCAGGCTGCCAGGGACTGAACCAGGTCGGCCACATGCAAGACAAATGCTTTGCTTCCTATACTATCTCTCTGGCCCAAAATAAATTTGTTGAAAGTCAGTCACTATATACTATATCTTTCTGTCGTGGCTTTTTTTTTTTTTTTTTTTTTTTTTGCTTTGGGGCCACACCTAGCACTCAGGGCTTTACTCCTGGCTCTGTACACAGGGATCACTCCTGGCGGTGCTCAGGGGATTTTATCACGTACTGGGGATCAAACCCAGGTTGGCCACATGCAAGGTAAGTGCCCTACCTGCTATACTATGCTATACTAGAATCAGTCAGTGTAGAAGGAAGTAGGGAAGGCAAATAGAATTTAGAAGTACACAAGGTGGAAAACAGAAGACAGATCAGATTAAAAAAACATACTGTGGATAATCTGACCAGATAATTACAGGTTAAAACAGCATTCTTCAGATCAGAGAGATAGTACAGAAGGTAAGGCTCTTGGCACTGCACAAGGCCAAATCCAGCTTAGATCCCTGGTACAGCAGATGGTCCCCTAAGCACCCCCAGATGTCCCAGAAAAGAGACGAGGAAAAAAGAAGGAAGGAAGGAAGGAAGGAAGGAAGGAAGGAAGGAAGGAAGGAATATGGGCAAGGCAAGAGGGATAAAAGATGCAGCTAAGAAATAGCCAAGAAGAGGGCCAGAGTGATAGTAAAGCAGGTAGGGCACTTGCTTTGCACACAGCTGACCTGAGTTTGATTCCCATCATCCCATATGGTCCCCCAAGTACTGCCAGAAGTGATTCCTAAGTGTAGAGACAGGAGTAACCCCTGAGCATCCCAGGATGTGAGCCAACAACCCCCCCCACAAAAAAAAAATAAAGCAAACAAAAAGAAATAGGAGAGTAAAATGTAGTAGTGATACTGTCAAATATTTTGAACTTGGATTTATGCTTTGGTTTTGGTTTTGTTCTATAATAAGCTAAAATAGAAAAAGAAGTAGGTTTAGAGACATCCACCCAAGTTCTGGGTCTCAACAGGTCTCAACCTGTTCCTGAGTTCAGGCACCAGTGCCAGCTTGGAAGCAGGGGATGGTCAGGAATTCCCGCGCATCATCTGACACTTCCCCCGCGCTCGATGAGCAGTGCTTGCGGACTGACCTGGACCACCTCCACACAAGCAGATACAGGCGGGGAGAGCAGGAAAACGAGGCCCTTGGCCCCACAGGGCTATGGCACTAGCACCCATGCTCGGGGCAACCTCCGAAAGAAGAAGACCCCCAGGGCCAAGGAACGGGCAGGGACAGAGCGGATGAGAGGCGGACACTCACTCGTGGACTCTGCTGTCACCGTAGAGATCGCTCAGGCCGAAGCTGATGTAATGCCAGTGCTCGGGGATGCTGGCAGACGGGCTCCCCACGTTCCTGTACATGCTAACGTAGTCCAAGGGGTCTGGGCCCCCCAACCTGGGAAAGACAAAAAACAGAGGGGTCAGTGGGAGCCTGGCGGCAGACAAGACCAACCCAGGGGCTCACCAGCGAAATGGAAGCCCCCTCAGGGAGGAAACTGACAGGGAAGGTGAGAGAGACCTCGCCTTGGGGTATAAGATCAAGAGAGCTGCAAGAGGTGCCCGTCCATCTCCGATGGGCAGGACCCCTTTTGAGGAACGACAAAGGCCGGGTAGTTTCCCGTCTGGCTTCCTCCTGTTTCAAATTACCAAACGGAACTGGCAGGGATCAAGGCTCTTCGTCACTCTCCCATGCTCTTCCAAGGCATCTCACACACATACCGACTCTAAGGGCAGCCTCCATAGGGGGTCTCTGGGCATTCCCCAGACCCTCCTGGACATTCCCCACGGGCATTGTCCCCACACCGTTCCTAGAAGCAGAGGCTCCGCCACTCCTGCCGCCAAGCTAATTCCTGAAAGACTACACTGTGCCCTACGTCAATTCCAGTCTGTTCCAAACAAGCCCAGTGCCTCCAGACCCCAGCTTGGCACCCCGCAGACCAAAGCTGGTCTTTAATCATGCAGGTGACAAATGCCAAACTTAGGCTAGCTTGGCTCAGCAATGCAGAGAAGCCACCAAGCCCTTGAGGGTCTACATGAGAAGACCCCAGGAGACTGGCAGATGGGGAATATGAGATGATTTGGGGCCTCAGAATATCACAGTAAACTTTCCCCCTAAGTCCAGCAGAAGCTGCTGAAAAAGAGATCCATCATCACCTCACTCTGAGGATTTAATTCAATCAGGGTTCTCTTTAGAAGAGTATTTAGTGCTTTAAAAAAAAAGAAAAGAAAAGAAAGGAAAAGAAAGCAAGACTGCGTTTCTTCAGAATGAACAGGGAACTTGGTAGAGTGAAGAAAGATACTAAATGAAAACCATCACGGGAAGGAAGTTCCCATTTTGCCCATAATTGCACCAAAGCCGCCACGGATGGCTGCACCAACCCAGCTCACCCCGGGGACGATGGCAAGGTGCACTCCTAGAGCAGACAGAGCTTGCTGATGGAAAACGAAGAACCAAAGACAACACATGTTACACGCGATCCAGCAAGCATGCCAGTGGCATGCAATGCGAACACTATTAAAACCAGTAGGTCTGTTTTATTCCTCTTTTGCCACAAAATTACTCGTCTTTGTAGAAATCCTTATTCTCTGCTAGGAAATGCTACTATTTACAGAATTTAATTTGGTGTAGGGACACCCTTAGCAGTGCTCAGGAACTATTCCTGAAGTGATCCTTAGAAGACACTTTTATTTTCTTGTTTTGTTTTGGGTTTTATTTTTTTCTGGGGAGGGGGTAGCAGACCTCAGGGCTTAATTCTGGTTCTGCATTCAGGGATCACTCCTAGAAGTCCTCAGGGGACAATATGGAGAGCTGAGGATTGAACCTAGGTCGGCCACATGCAATACTAATGCAATACTATACTATCACTCCAGCGTCTCAGGAGTCACCTTTTTTTTTGGGGGGGGGGGAGGCAGGGTGTTGGAGGCCATACCCAGAGGTGCTCAGAGCTCACTCTTAGCAGAGCTCAGGGGACAACACGGATGTCAGGTATCAAGCCCAGGTTGGGTGCCTGCAAGGCAAGCACCCTACCTACTCTGGCCTCAACAGGAGTCACTCTTGGGAGTTCTTATCTTCTCACCAAGATCATAGGTGCTGGGGCTGGGATTCAGGCCACCCGCATGTGAAACACGTGCTCCAGCCCAAGGCACCATCTCACTGGTCCTATTTATAGAATTTCTAAGAATAAGCTGCCACAAATAGCTTTGACTCCAACTGAGTGGATTAGGAAAAAGAAGAACGCTCCATCCATGTCGTAACTCCACTGAATCTAATTCCACAGACAGTTGGAATTCGGAAGTTTATGAGGAAGAGAAGAAGAAAGAGCAGTTCTCCCTGGACAGACCCCAGGCCAGCAGCAGAAGGCAGAGCATGGGGCAGTGAGGCCAGGCTGGGGCAGGCTCAGTCCAGCCCCTCCTGCCACCCAGACGCTGCATCCACCCTCCAGGGCTTCATCTGCCCCACCATGGCCACCCTCCTTCTCGACAAATCTTCTGGGAGATGCTCCCTCAAGGAGAGAACTTCACCCAAACATCTCACCGCTAAGAGCTCAGAGTGGGATGATGCTAACTGTGACCCCAGCACAAAGCTTTCAGTTCTATAATACAGAAACCTGATGGGAAGCCAATAAGCATGTAGAAAATAACTGTACTTCACACTTAGAAAAAGATGTTCTCAGGGGCCGGAGCAATAGTACAATAGGTAGGGCATCTACCTTGCATGCAGCTGACCTGGATTCGATCTCCCGCATCCCATATGGTCCCCCAAGCACCGCCAGGAGTAATCCTAAGTGCAGAGCCAGGAGCAACCCCTGAACATCACCGAAGTGACCCCCTCACCACCACCAAAATAAAAGATGTTCTCCAAGGACCCACACAACATCCATCTCTTAATTCCTTGAACACCTGATTTTCTCTCACAGAGATATAACAAGACTGGAATGGCCCCTGGGTCTGGGTTCTACCTTGGCGTCTACTCATAAAGTCTCAATGGTTATTTAAGATGTCAGGTGCCAGGCAGTCAATCACAAAAATGGAAACATTGAGTGCTGAAGAGACAATAAAGGGGTTAAGGGGTTTGCCTCACCCCACCAACAAATCCCCGGGTTGAATCCTGACACCATATACAATCCCCTGAGCACTGCCAGATCTAGGAATAGCCCACTGAGCACTGCTGGCTATGATCCACTCAAAAAAAAAAAATCTAAAGAGGTCTGTGAGACCCCAAATGTAAGGGATGTGAAATGAAGCAATTTCAGAATCCTAATGAAGCGAAACTCCGAACCAGACGCTGAGATATTCCCTCACATTTCTCAGCCTCTAGGCTGCATTTCTAATATCACAAAGTGCCAACTTTGCCCATCACTGATGACAAGTCCTAGAAGCAGCGTGTGGCAGAAAGAGTTCCCCAACCAGTAGGGGTGGGGAAGAGGGGTGGTATTGGAGGGAAACTGGGGACACTGTGGCAGGAAATGTACACTGGTGAAGGGAGTGGGTATTAGAAATCCTGACTGGGCTGGAGTGATGTAGCACAGCGTATAGGGCATTTGCCTTGCATGCAGCCGACCCGGGTTCAATCCCCAGCATCCCATATGGTCCCCAAAGTACCATATGGGACCGGAGTAATTCTTGAGTACAGAGCCAGGAGTAACCTGAAAGAAAGAAGGAAAAAAAGAAAGAAAGAAAGAAAGAAAGAAATCCTATGTATAAAACCTAATCGAGAACAACTTTGTAACTGTATATCTCAAGGTGATTCAACCAAAAAAAAAAAAAGTTACCCAACCCAGTTTAAGTTATTTGCCCGTGCTAAGTATCTTTTTTTCTGGGTGGGGAGGGAGGGGAGTGGCTGAAGGGGAGAATTTTCTACAGCAGTGCTCAGCGGACCAAGCATCACTCCCTGTGATACCTGGCCAGCCAAATCTGTGGTTCACTGCTAGGGCCCAAGGATGATGAAGCTACTCAGACCCTGTGGTACTGGGGATCACCAGAGCCAACCCAGCAGCCTCCTGGGGGTCATGCAGTGTCAGGGACCAAACTGGAGTCCCAACCACAGCAGACACACACACGCCCCTAAGCCATGTGCTAGCTCCCCTGTGCCTACTTTCATACCTTCTGAACTAAGCTCAATATTCAGAGCCACTTGGGTGGCAGAAAGAAAAACAGCTGCCACTCTGTCAGCAGAGGGTTTTCTCTGAGCACGCAGCAGGGCAGGGCCAGCCCTTGTCTCTCACCTCGAAGTCCTCTAGCGCACGCACACATCAAGATCCAGACTTAAATACTGAGGTGCAATTTGAACGGGTGATTAAACTGCCAAAGAGCTGCTTTTCACTCAGAAGCTCTCTCCCCAAACTGAAAGCCCATATTGTGCCTGCCACAAGCTGGAGAATTCATACAGAGGCTAAGCACTTGCCTTGCATGCAGGTTTGATCCTTGGCACCCCAAGAGACCCCTGAGCACAGGTCCAAAGTGTGCTCTGCCCCACCTCCCAGAAAAAAAAAAAGCAGGACCTGACCACAAAAGAATAGTTAGCCTGTCAGAGAAAATTGTACCTATGGTCAGTCACATCTCCTCCTGCCCCAGACAGAGGCAGGCAGCTGGGCTGTCCCCATGCTCAGCCTCTTCCCACCCTCCCTCCATCAACCACAGCCTTGGGTCTGCCACCTCCGGAGGACAAGACCCAGTCCCAAGACAGAGGGACTGTTGGCCCCACACACCTGCATCTGCCCTTCTGGCCAATTCTCCTGGGAGGTGGCACCTCAAGGAGAGAGGCTGCCCAGGGAGTCCTTCCCGACACATCTAATTCAGTGTCTGCATTACTGTAGCTCTGGACAGTCAACCCAACTGCCAGGCTCCTGGCACTGAAGACCCCCCAAAACAGGCTCTTCTGCAAAGGCACCTCAATACCTGTTCTGCTGTGAGCCTGCAGGCTTACAAGAAGGAATGGAAAACTACTAACCCAAACCCAAGCGCTGCCCAGGAGGGTTACTCTCCACTCCCCCCGCCACCAACCGCCCAGAAACTGCTGCTGAAATCCTGATGCGTGTGGCCAGGAAGCTCCGAGCTACATCCCAGCGCCTTTCTTTGCCCGGTCTATGCCACAAGCCCTCCCCCACTCGCCCCATGTCTTCACCATTCGCCCGTGGCCCCCTCCATCCAAAACCAAGACCCGGGTCTCGCTGTCCTAGCCCACGTTCTAAAGCAGAGCTGCTGCAGATGCAGAAGGAAACTGCAGAGAGAGAACGGTGCAGAGTAAGCAGAAAGTTTGTCCGGGGGAGTTGTTCCGCCGAACTTCACGCGCAGGACACTGCCCAGATAGGATGTCTGGGCTCACCCGCAAAGGATCGCAAGGAGACCGCCAGCCCCAACGTGCCCCCCAGCAAAGCCCACTCGGCTCTCCCGGGCCCCGCCCCGCCGCCCCCGCCCCCCGCGGGCTTCCCCTCGCCCACTAATGACCCCCTACGGGCGTCCTCTCCTTTCACCACGTTTACAGTTCCCTCTCTCCTGCGGTTCCCCCCACGGCTCCGACAACCCCCCCCCATTGACTCTTTTCTCCTAATCCCGGCTAACCCTTCATCCTTCCCTCCCTCTTTAACTCTTCCCTACCCACGGGCTCCGTTAACCCCTTTGTCCCCATTACCAACTTGTGCCCTAACTCCTTCAAAGCCTCGCAGCAGGAAGCCCCCATCCAAGTCCTTTAGCCTTCCTCCTCCTCCTCCTCCTCCTCGCCTGCAAATGACTTCGCCCCCGGCGCCTAAACCCTTCCCAGCCCCCCCACCCCCGCCCCGGCTCGGTCCCCGAGCGGCCCAGGGCGTACCAGTACTTGACGATAGCGGTAACCTGGAGCGGGTTCGGCTGGTCGGGGTAGAGGCGGCGGCACTCCCCGTAGATGGCGTGCAGTCCCGGGGGGAAGAGCGAGGCGAAGGGCGGCGGGGCAGTCGGGCCAGGGGCCGGGGGCGCGGCGGGGCCGGGGGGCAGGCTAGGCCGCAGCTCCGCCATTGGGGCGCGTAGGGCGCAAGGGGAACCCGGGAGCACGGGCGAGGGGAGCACTGACGCGCCAGCGGGCCGACTCCGAGGGTGCGACTCCCGGAGGCGCCGGGGGCTGCAGCGAGGTCTAGGCTCTGCGCGCCTGCGCACAGCGCACGGTCCGCCCAGGCCGCCGCCGCCGCGGAGACCGCCGGAGGGTGCCTCGGGGACCGCGGGGCGCTCGAGGGGGCGGGGCGCCGGCTCTCCCCGTCCCCGCACCTATTGGCTAGTGTCCGTGCCCATCGAGGGTGGGAGGGCGTGTCTTGACGGTGAGTCCCGCCTCCCCTCCTGGCCGAGAAGGCGTCCCAAGGCTCTTGGCCTCCCCCTAGCGTTAGGAGGAACCCAGGTTTCACTAGAGACGGCGAGGTGCTAGGGTCCCCGGCTGGGGGAGTGCGCCCAGTTTCGAGCAGTTCTGCTAACACTGTGGTAACGAGAATGCAAACGGAAATCTGACAGTGGACTTCTATATTTGTTCTTGGGATGCTAATTTTCATCTACTGTAAAGCTTACTATTTCCTATTCCTATCTTTGACGGTCCATTGACCAGTCCGTTGCCACTAACAGTACCAAATTCAGGGGTCTTCTACTTATTTTGGAGTTCTGCCAGAAAGTTGCGAGAGTCAGTGAATTAAAGAGATTTGGCAATTATTTGCTCAATGTTTTTAACGATGACAACAAGCTTTTCTTTGTTCTGTATGCAGATTACCTCAAGGAACAGGAATATCCATCATGCATTATGAGTCTGCCTTTTCCCATCATGGCTCGAGTCAGTAACTAGGAGGGGAAAAAAATTATTTTTGGTTTGGGGGCCACACCCTATGATGCTCGGTGGTTCCTCCCAGCTCCTGGTCTAACCGGTGCTCCCCGTATGCAAAACAAGCACTCCAGCCCTTTGAGCCATCTACCCCAGCCCTGTAATTCAACTTTTAATTCCTAAGGCACCAGTGGGAATTATTTTTCTGTTACCAATAGTCTTTCATTAACTTATTCCTATACTAAGTTCCTCCCCGGTTGGGGAGCTTCTTTTCCTTTTACTTTCCAATAAACCTTACTACTTCCAAACACAAGAAACAAACAAATAGAAAAAGCCTTCCATGTATAAATGCCTTTCAGATATCTTATTAGGGTGGAGGGGATAGTTTGGCGACCAGTGCTAAAGGATCTTTGCAAGTTGAAGTAGGGTGAAGGGGACAAAATTAAATCTAAAGAAAAAATGCACCGGGCTGATTTGAAAGCAGTAGCAAAAACCTCTCCTCACCTCTATTTTCTCACCACCAATGATATTCTTGCTCTCCTTGAAAATTAAAGCATGCTTGAGCAGTTCCTGAACCTCATGAACAAGTTTTAATGACCCAAACTGATATATACTAGTATAGATAAGCTATACTTCCAAATACCAGTCTTCAGATCAACATTAGCCTGTTACAAGGTTTACACCTATTCAAGGAGATATACGAGGGGCTGGAGCAATAATACAGCGGGTAGGGCGTTTGCCTTGCACGCAGCTGACGCAAATTCAATCCCCAGCATCCCAAATAGTTCCCCGAGTATCGCCAGAGATAATTCCCGAGCACAAAACCAGGAGCAACCCCTGATCATCGCCAGGTGAGATCCAAAAAAAAAAAAAAAGAGCATAAAAGAAGATATACGAAAGGCAGAAAAAATATTGGTTTTTCCATAACAGCAGATTGTATGCAATTTATTTCTCATTGTTTCCAGTTCTTCCCCCGTGTATATTTTTTTTTGTTTTTTATTTTTGGAGGGGGGATTACACTGGTGATGCTCACGCTTACTCCTGACAGTGCTCAGGGGACCATATGGGACGTCGGAGATCAAACTCAGGTCCGCGGAGTGCAAGGCAAAACCTCCTATCCGCTGTACTATTGCTCCGGCCCAGAGTACATAGGTTTTAAACTTTGCTTTATTTTAGGATGTGATAAGGTATACTAACTAATATAAACATAATTTAAAAAATTAAAATTTTTCATTACAGAATATAAATTTAACTCACAAAAATGACCTTATATTGTCCAGAAGTGAGTGGAGTTTAAACATTCAGAAACTTTACTGACCAAACTATAAACAAATACTCAAAAAAGACATCGTTCACGGGCGCTGCGGATCCTTTCTAAAGGACTATACAGATCCAGGCAAGCTATTGCGTGCACAGATCGACGGCCCTAAATTAACGCGTCCTGAGCTCTTATAAGAAAATACAAAGCCCACGGCGCTGCGCATAGGGAACTCGACGCCCAGTTTCTTGAACTAGGCGGGCCTCCAGAGCCGGCTGGTCGAGGCGACCTAGTGCAAGGCATGCTGGGAGTTGTAGTTCTTCCGAGACGAGGTCGGGCCGCTCCCTGGTCGCCGGTCCCGGCGGCCAGACTGCGCATGCGTGTCAGTGGCGTTAGCAGCAGCCGGGACTGGCAGTTCCTTCCTCGGAAGGAGAGATTCCTCTGCCATGGAGTCCTACGATGTAATCGCCAACCAGCCTGTCGTGATCGACAATGTGAGTTGCATCTTTTCTATCCCTAAAGAGACTTGTGCGCTCCTCTTCTGAGGGATCGCTTCCCGGGTTCCAGCCCGGCCGCCGGCTCTTTGTCACTGGCCCGGCCTGTCAGGCGGGTCCAGCCTCCGCCAGCTCCGTCCTCTCCCACACCCCCGAACCCTCGGCGGGGAGGCCGGCTGGCGATCATGGGATGGTGAACTTTGGGGTGGAGGAAAGCGAGAGCTGAAGTCTGAGCCGGGTCCATGGGCCCGTGGTTCGAGGGGCCTTAACAGCTCTGTGAGCGCCGGGCGCCCGCCCCTCCCCAGTTTCTGGTTACTCTATTGGCTCCTCTGGCTGTCCATCTTGGCCGCTGAGCCCGCCCCTGGGCCTTGCCGGATGAAGGCAGCGCTCTGCAGTGATTGGCTCGCGGCCCTGCCGTTCTTGCAGGCCGCCGTCGTGTTTCCCCCTCGGAGGGGCGGGCGGTGCGCGGAAGCGGTGAGGATTGGCTTCGGGAACTCTCGCCGCCCGGGCCGGCGCACTGGGGCCCGCCCGCGGGTGAAGGTCTGACTTTCCTTTGGACGCGCGTGCTGGCTCTGCAGTAGGGCGTGCATCTGGGTGGGGCCCGGAAATCTGATGTTGTCAGGAAGGGCCCTAGGAGTTCAGTTCTCGCTGGGTATCAAGTATAACATTAATAGAGGTCGAGAAGAAAGGGGCATGACAAAGCAAGTGGGATTGCAATCTTCCTGTTGGGAACGCCTGATTAATGCGGCGGGGACAGAAATTAACTGTCCTCTTGGGAACGCCTAATTAATGCGGCGGGGACAGATATTAAGCGGGCGCTCCGTCGCTTACAAGTGAGTTTTGCGTGCATCCCACTGGAAACCGCCTAAAAACTGGCGTGACCCACGTTTTACAAGAGCAAAGAGGTAAAGGGAGGCCAAGGTCGCCCAGGAATGGTGCCCTCCACCCAGGGCTTGGTCCGTCGTAGCTTTTGCTGATGCCTGCATACAGATGCACCACGAGTGACAAGTGGAAAGAGTCTGGGTCCTGCTCAGGCTTCGGGCGGAGGGGTCTGTGCCCTTTCCAGATGCCTCCACTGAGGCCAAACCGCCCGGTCCTCCTGTGCTAAGCAGATTTCCCCGTGGTCGATCCAGCCCTTAGGGCCTCATTTGTGTTACTTGCATCGTCTGCTTTACAATGCTGGTAGGTGACCACACAGGTGCGATTCTGCAGAGAAGTGAGGCTCAAAGAGGTTGGAGTTTTTTAAATCACCTGGCTCCTGAGCTGCAAGACCAAGGCCCAGATGGAGACCAGAGGCCACGTCCCTCCCTTTTTCCAAGAAAACTTGCTTTTGTTTATTTGCATTCGGAGGTCTGGCCACTGCCTTGAAACCGGGAATAGTCAGTGAGATGCCTCAGTAGTGGAGGGAGGATGATTTGTTTGTCTTCCTTACCAGAGTGTGAAATCCATATGGGAAAAGATGGAGATTCCTTCATTTTTCATGACTCTGCCTTCACCACCTCCCTTCATACCCAGTGCTTGGTACTACCAGCTCAATAAACATTCTGTATTGGGTTGGTGGGTGGGTGGAGGAGCAACTGGATAGCTCTATCACAGTAACAGAGATGCCCCTCAGTAAAGGGGGGGATAACTCCTAGTTTCTGCAGAGGGGTGAGTAGGACTCCTTGTTCTTGAGGTTGATTTTCAGAGAACACGACTATTTTTTTTTTATTTTTTACTAGTGAGACATCATGAGGTACAGTTATAGTCTTACAAATTTTTGTGCTTGGGTTTCAATTATACAATGATCAAATACCCATCCCTCCACCAGTGCCCATTTCCCACCACCACAGATCCCAGTATCCCTCCCACCCCCCCACCCCCCCAAACCCACCCTGCCTCTGTGGCAGGGCATTCCCTTTTGTTCTCTCTCTCTTATTGGAGAACAAGACTTTCTGTCAGTCAATTTCTGTGCACTTCATCAGCCTTTTTCCTGCTTTTTTTCCCTCCCCACCCCCTTTTCTCTTACTTTTAGGCGGAAGAGAAAAGGAAAAAAAAAACCCTAGGAATGAGCAATTTCTTGTTTTCACCAGCAATACAGAAGGGCTATCCATCCACCTTCTTGAATTGTTGAGTGGGACTTGCGACTCTATCCGGTTTTCTCTCAGCCCACCCATTGCCTTCCCTTTTGTTTTTGGGCCACATCCTGTGGTGCTAAGAGGTGGGGGCTACTCTTTTTGTCTTTGAGATCCTCAGTGATCATACACTTGATTGCTGTGTTTGCCAGGGGTCACACACAACTTGATTGTTGTGGTGCCCCAGAGATAGTGTACACACTGATGGGGTTATCCCAAAGGGTGAGGCCAACTACACCATGTGGGGCAGTTTAGGGTAGAATTTGCCTCCCCGGGCTGCCAAGCAGGCACTCTACCAGCTGGGCCATTCCTGAGCTCCCTCGAGCCATTTTCCTTAATCTCTTAAACTAATGCATCACTCTCTCTCCTTTCTCTTTCTTGACTCTGTAGTGGAATACATCAAGCAGTATAATACAGTTTCAGCTTTGCAATGTAAAGAATTGAGCTTTAGAGATAGTACGGGGATTAAGGCATTTGCATGTGGCTGACCTGGGTTCAGGCCCCAGCACCACACATGGTATGAAAGCATTCAGCCAAGAGA